CATTCCTTGTGGTCTCCCTTCTTGAATACGGGTACAATAACACCCGTTCTCCAGTCCACTGGTGTCTTTCACGCAGTCATCGCAGTTTGACAGACACGTGTTAGCCAGCACATGCCTTGTTCTGTTTTCTGTGATTTGTATCCATAATAATCCAGGAACTTCTCTAGCTCAACTTGCTATCGATCTGGAGATCTTCCTACTGGCAGTTTACTCCATTCGGGAATCCGATCTAGTGTTTTTCTAGTTCAGCGATAGGCCTGTTCATGGCTGTTTTATCTTCTTTACTTGAGCGGTGACATAGCAGGCTTATTTGTGATCTTATCCATTCATTTGTCTTCCCGTGTTTTCTTGTTATTTCCAGCATGCATCCTTTCATACTACGTTGCGTGGTTTGCAGTTTATAAATAGCGTTCAGACTTAGGATCCACGTTTCGCATCTATAGGTTAGCACCTCAGTGTGTCTAACTGCTAGCCATCTGGCGCGTCCGTGGATTGTGGATAGGGGAACGTCCTCTAGATATGGAGGTTAGCTGCGCCAAATAAGCAGACAGCGGTGAGACCACCAGGACGTGGTTAGGATCCAGCTCGACAGCTTCCTTTCTTAGAGAAAAGTCACAGTACCTTATGACAGCTTCATGAGGAGACGAAAGCTACCCACCCCCTTGAAAGAGAATACCGCTACAATGTGGTTGGACGTCGATTCGTCATAGACAATGAGAGAAAACTTCTGTAAAAGGCTGGTCGAAATTGGGGAACCCGTCTGCACGAAATTTGCTAATTCACCATCATCCCTGTCAGGAGGTGAAAAGCTTCATGCGCTTTGACAACACGGTGTTACGGCCGTAGCGATTCACCACCGAATACCGGCCGGTCAAGGGGATTAGTTTGATACCGAAAGCATGCACTAATGTGTGATTTTAACAGTGATAGTCCTACTTAACTGGTTGCTTAGGGTTCCTCCCGTTTCTTCATTTTGTTGCGTGGTCGGTTTCCTTCTTAGCTTTTGAAACCTACCTATTGTTTTCTTACATTGTGAGGGCTGTCATATGACAATG